GTTTATTGGTTCCAGTAGTATCATCAAGTCCCCAATCCTGCAGGATGATCATGAGGTTTGGCCATGGGACCTCCACCCTACTCTGCACTCTATTATGTTGTTTTTTTTCTTATTTTCAGTATACCTGTTAGTCCCTAGTGATTGCTAACAGCAGAGATCTCAGGTAATGTTACTTAGGGAACCATCCTGAAAGAGATTATCCACCATACTCCACTCTGGAGTATGTCCACCTTTAAAGAGGTAGACATTTCAATAGGTCATCTCTGGTAAATATTTCACATAATCCACCCTGAAACTATAGTCACTCAAACTTCACAATATGTGGAAGGAATTGGGTAAGTTATATGCTGTCTATTAGGATTAGAGCTCACGGGGCTCTCAGGCTGTTTGCTATTTATTGGATGAGATGATTGACTCATAGTTCCAGTATTTAGCAGAATCATCTTATCAGTCCTGAGCAAGACCTTAAGATTAACAGCCAGGCCAAAGGAGGAAGTTGGATAGGAGGGAGCATACCATCGCACCAGGATAGCCACTAGATAGAGAAGGAGAAATGCTCTCTTTATCAGTCTAACTACACTAGAGCAACATGCAGAAAATCTCAAAACATTCCCCAGTCAGCATGGTTTTGTCATGGGTGAAAGTTGTGTAAGCATTTCAGCTAGCAAGTCAGCTGTAGCTCTGTTCTGCACTATGCCTTGAAAACATAACCTCAGTTGTATTAAACAGTTGTGATTTTTGGAGACTCTAAACAGAGATCTAATGTTTAGACCATATAGCATAATTAAAGACTCAGTATGCCCTGGAAGGTGAGTTCCAGGAATGGGACGTTTCCTGAAGAATTAAGAGGAGGTTCTGTTAGTTATTTTAAGTTAAAACAAAACAGATTCAAAGATGGAAAAAGAAAGAGATGCACTCTAAGCTGTGAAGATTTCAGGATCTAGAAGATGGAATGACTTCAGCTAAACGTAGATTGGAAAATGCAGTTAAAAAAAAATAGCAAAATATTAAGAAATAACAGTAGATGAGAGATTGTTGACAAAGGCTCAAGCCTGTCAAATACAAAGTCAAAAAATACTCTGCGTAAAGATAAGGGTCAATCCACAATATTAACTGCAAATATTCTTAAAGAGGAAGTGTGAATTATATGTGTACTCTTTGCTTGTCTGGTATTCTTTAAGTTGGCAGCCTTTGAAGCCTTAGGATAGTATTATATGGAACATATATTATATGGAACATCTGATTAAACATATGAGAAGTTTTAAAACCTGTAATGTGGACTCAAGTGAAGCCAGAAAAATGTACACTTTTAAATCAACATTTTTTTTAATTGCAACACATTCATTTTTGTATTGGTTTGAAATATATAGAGTATTGTCAAAGCATTCGCTGTCTGAAATTAACTGGAAGATAGTTTTAGATCCTGGAAATAGTCTAGGGTAACACAGAGACAAAAAGTTACAGGAGAGCTACTCTATTCAAGCTATTGATTCTGTTACTGATTAGTATAATTGGATACTTCTCTCTGCTTTATTTCATTCCTAATTAGACTTCTCTATTCCACTTTGTTTCCATTTTACCTCTTTGCTTTTGTCTCTTGTCACAAAGCTGAAGTTCTATGTTGCCAGTTCATCTCTTTTCCATACCTCGGGATGGTACATGTGTCCAGAAACACGGTCCAAAACCAACAGATTTATCACAGCCTAAATGACAGCTGGCTGCATGCTGAGTAAGTTCTTAAATTCACAAAAACTACATTTTTGCCAAAACATGCAAAGTTGCAGCATTGAAGATTTTATTGGGATTGTTATCTTCAAATGAAGAATGACTCCACTGGAAAAAAATATATAAATATTTAATATTAACTTCAGACATCCTTTTAGCTTCTTGTTTGGTGAAACTTCAGAAAACATAATTAGCCATATATTGAGAGCTATTTGCCAAGTATAAATCCAATTTTTGCAGAAGATATTTAAGCACTAGTTGTCCACAAATTTACTCTGTTGGAATCACAAGAATGTTTTGTTTTGTTTTTGAATAACAGTGTTATTCTTCATATTTATTTGGGTAAATATTTGTATATATGAAGGTTTTAGAACTGGCAGTACTAAAGACTGAAATCTTCCATTTGTTTACATGGGAAGATCTGTGCAGGCAGAAGGATTTGAATAATCCCCTAATTGTGTCACTTACGAACTTCAAACGTTGCATTGGGATGATGATGTTCTCACAGAAAGAAAAGCAGAGCAGGTCAGGAACATTCACTCTTCCCCACAGATATTTGTAGTGAAAACAGAGCGAGATTACTCTAATCGAAAACACAGACAGAAATGTTAACTTTTTGTTAACATAAGTAAGAGTTTCTATGTGAAAACTAGAGGGCTTCCCTCCTCCCTCCAAATCTCCCCCGCCCCAAAAAAAAAAAGGAAATCTAAATAAACGGTAAAATTTCAAATTAGATTAAAATCAACTGAAAGATTAAATTGTACCTGCCTAAGTAGCGGTATGGAATTATAGTCAGGTGCCTCGTGATACCTTCTCATCTTCTGAATAGGATTTCAGTTTAGGCTACTTTTCCCAAAATAGAATAATTGCTTCTCCTCAGGAACTTTTCTGTGAAATGAGTTCAGTTTATGCTGCCCTGAGTAAGAAGTTGGGTTTATTTGAATCAGATAAATGTCACCTTTCTATTCCTATTGAACAAAAAGTAAACTATCTTGCTATAAGAATGGTAAGATTAGATTTTTATTTTCCTAGCCAAAGAACTTCTCTTTGGGTCCTCTCTGACTGTAAGTGGTCTTGTTTGTTCATGAGGTCATCAGATTTAAGGACAAGATGTCTTTTAGTGTTATGGTCCCTGTCATGGATGGAGCAGAAGTGAAGGCTAGAAGAAAAGGAGGGAGAGCGTTTGGGGCATTACGTGCTGCTGGCAATAAAATTAGGGTTCCTGCATCCTCTGTGCTGTCTGTCTCAGCTGTACTGGCAAATTAGAGGTGATGAAAAGTGAAGCTTCTTGGCTGCTTCATTTTAAAAACAACTCTTATATTCTATTTTCACGTATTTGTATTGATGGCATTAAAGTCACGTATTGACATGATAGAGAACTTCACATGTAAGTCATTCTCAGCTCACTTTTAATAAATAGCATGTTTTACTTACTTATAACTCCTTTTCTAATAACTCCTATCTTATGACTCCTATTTTTTTTTTTCTAAATGTCAGTGACAATGTGTTTTGCAGCTCACAATGCATGAGAAAGGGATGTATTAAGCTGATACATAAAGATACATGTGTGATAGGTGAATACATGATTTTTTGAGCAACCTAAGCTAAGATCAATCCATTGAGATAAATCACAAGATTGCTACAGATTGGTTCATAAATGTCTCATGGTTCAATATACAGTAACATTGCTGTGGATATTAATTTCCAGGAACAAAAAAAGCAATCTGGGGGGAAAAAAAGGTATGGTTAATGTCCTTTCACTGAGTATTGACTTCAACCTAGTTGCTCTATAAATCTTTCAAAGCACAAATTCCCTAAGTTTGGATCTTTCAAATTGGCTTGATCTGTAAAAATGTAATCCAGTTTTATGGGTTTTAAAATTTATTTCTAATATTTTGTTTGTTTGTGATAGCTTTAAATGGGGAATAATTCTCTGGTATCAGTAGAAATAATTGAAAACAGTATAACATAATGTGCAGCAAAATGGAAATCTACAATATCATTTTTATAGCCAAAGAGTAGGTAGGATTTTAATGGTTTTGTTTTTGTATTTTGTGTGTTGTATTTTTTCATAAGACATCCAAAACAACATGACTTAATTGCTACATTGTTATATTCTGAATACAGTACCTATTCCACAGTGCTTCTAAACATCAAAGAAATATTCTCTTATTTCTCTGACGTTAATTAGCCATAATTCTTTAGTATTTATACAGCAGTTTGATCCTTGTGACCTGTGAATTTAAATGTTCTTTTTTCATTTTCCATTTAAACATTTGACAGCTTTTAATAACTTAATTTGTTCTGAAAATATTTTTACTTCAGAATACATACTAATATGATATAAATAATAATCAATCTAAAGAAAAAACATGAATCCTGCAAGGCCTTTCTTTTTCTATCCCTAGCATCCAGATGTACAGATTAGTAGAGACAATGAACAAGTCTCAAAAATTTGAGAGATATAATCCATTCACACACAGAACACAAATACTGCTGAAATTGCACATTTAGGGTTATGTTTTTCCTCTATTAGTTCCATTACTATCAATGAATAACGGCTTCCCGTGTGGTAATCTAATTATGGTTTGAAATAACTGGTGAACTGGACCACTGTCATGGATCAAGGAGGAAATTAATTATAGGAGGGTAAAAATGAAATGTAGGGGGCATGGGATCCTAACTGGAAATAATGAAATAATGAAATTCAGTCAAGTTTCAATTGAACGCTTGTGACATCTGCACAGTGAGTTCTGTTGAGCAGTGGAACTTGCAGAAGCTCTAGCACATGGGATATTTAAAACTGAGTTGGACAAACATGAAGAAAAAAAAGACTGTTGAGAACCAATTTTTCACTGGCAACGAGGTGGACTGGATGATCTAATATCTCATTTCCACTCTTAGCGTCTACAAGTCTGTTTGAAAAAATACTTGGAATTCTGTATGTTTTCTAGCCTCACTTGGACTTCTTTTGTATCTAGCAGCAGGAGCTCATTATCCTGTGAATGTACTTGACAGTAAATAGCTTCATTTTCAGTCTTTCTTATTGTACAAAGCTAAATTTTAGGATATGTGGAGTCAAATTTTTGCCCTAATCTTGAATACCTGCTTACTTGCAACAGCAAAGAGAGCTCAGCAAATTAGTTGTCCTGGGGATCACAAGATCCTTAAACTAGCCAACTGCATGTGAAATTTCTGATGATGGGAAATAAGTGATGACTTCATTATATTTTTACATTTTAAAACTAACTATCTGTATTTTGTTTCCTTTGCAGACCATCTGAAAGGAGAGGTAACACGGCGACATATTCAAAGAGCTGCTCAAGGTAAGACAAAAGCACTCAGAAGCAACAAGTTATCTCCCCAGGCTTAATCTGATTGTTGAGCAGATTGTACTTTTTCAACAGTTCATGTCATTATATTTCTATATTCCGTGACATAAAGGATGCAGACTTTTTGAGTTTTGCCAGAGATTTGGTTCAAAAAGCATCTGATTTTATGTATGGTGAGGAAAATTATGCAAAAGTTTATTTGTTTCATATTGGATTTGTTATTACTTTCTGGTTTTTGTTTTTGTTTTGCCTTACTTGTGAAAACAATCTCTTTAGGTTGACCAACACAGAAAAAGAGAGGTCTGAGATCATAGAGTGATAGAATGGCTTGGGGTAGAAGGAACATCAAGTGTCATCAATTTCCAACCCCCCGCCACAGACAGGATATTTGCATTTACATTTTTTGTGCTTTCTAATGACTCTTTGTTTCCCACTGGTAGATATTGATTTGTGCTGAAGCTGAGCTTCTAGTTAGGCATGTTGCCACTGTCAACCTAACATCCTTTTAAACTTTCTTCATTCCAGTCGGTACTGAAAGCATATACTGGTCATTTCTTTCACATCTAGTTATAGAAGTTGAAAAGCTATTCCTTTCAGCTTCTGTTGACACAGCTGTGAAGCTAAAAATGTCTATGCAAGTTGTTCACATACGTGTAAAGTTATCCAAATTTGGCTTAAGATGCCTTAGGTGGACTCCATGGGTTTTGTACTGAAAATAGCCTAGTAGTGACTATATGAGAATTCCACTTTTGGGACAGTAAACTGCAGAAAAATGTGTATTGCTGGGGGCAATAACAAGTTAAGCCCACCTCACCTAGATCCTGGGTTCACTGTTGAAGCTTTTCTATGTCTCTCTGGATGGCATCCTATCCTCAAGGTCTTATACGTATTGTATAGTAATTTCTTAATACATAGACATTTGTGTTGCAAATGCTATTTTCATTCAAAGCTGGTTTTCATAGAATAGTAGGCATAATTTTTTAATGTCCTTAGGAAATGACAGAGTGATGACCTTACTAGCTATTCACATTGGAAATATTCTCTTATATTATCTCCTAGCATATTCCACAACGGTGCAGGAATCTATGTGCTTTTTGCATTTGTTTTGAGCATTGCTCTCTACTTACCATCACAAAGTCTGGACTGCACTAGGTGTTTTCCATACTTTTGTTTCTCCTTAATTAGCCATGATTTTAAATATTCTGGAAATTGTGACAGTATTTATGATATGAGATGGGGAAATACTGTCCGCTTTTTGAACGAATGTTTCTCCAAGGAGTAACAAGTGTCAAGTCTCCCAGAGACTTTCTTGATGACTAGAAAGTGATCAAGATATTTTTAAATAAAAGCAGCCTGGTAAAAAGGATAATTGAGACTCCGTTGAAATTCCAAAATGAAATAAAACACACCATTGTTTCAATTAGGAGCCAAGTAAACATCTTCCAGCTGCCTTTTTTTTCTTAACTTAGATCATATTATGGTTAAAACTCTGTTGCAAGCTATTCTACTTGGATTTTGAAGAGTATAGATCTGTTTCTTCTGTGGCTGTGTTTGAGATGTGAATTTCTCATTTACTGAAGGACAACTCCACTAGTTAGCCCATCCTTCTTAGCTCTCTCTTATAAAGCACCATATGCTGTTAACAAAGGATGAAAATGGATAGGGAGTTGGAGGCAAGGATGTATAAGCATTGAATAATTTAGGTAAGATTATAAGGATTCACTCTCAGCATCACTTTAATCTTCGTTAATGATTAGAATGACTTATCATGCAGATATTTTATTCAGTAAGATCTTTCAGAGTAACAATCAGTCTGAAAGGACAGGACATGGTATGACTGAGTTGAAAATTATGATCTTTTTTTCTCACTCCTTTCCCAGTCTTTCTTCTGCTCTTTATTTCCTTTTCTACCTTCTCATTCATCTCCTCTTTCACTTTTCCTAAATCTTCGTGCCTTCTTTTTATTTCATTTTTCCATTCCTCTCAATTTCTACTTTCCTTCAACTTTTTCTCTCCACAGTATCATTTATTTTTGAATTTTCCCTCTTTTAGGGCTTGTATGATTCTTCCCCCTATCTTTTCACTTCTTTTTGCATGATTAACTGTATTTTTGGGCAGTATTTGAAATAATTTGTACAGAACACAAGTACTGACTGAGCAAAAACACTGGGTCACCAGCATGCTTCTGGGTAGAAAAGGTGGCAGAAAATGTCAGAAAGAAAAACATCTCCTGGGTTTGCAATGTTTTACAAGGTAAATGCATATTTTTTAGAAAGTCATTAGCTTAAGATGCTTTGAACTAGCACTTCAGTAAAACACTCTTCTGGTTTTGCTTCAATTAAATGTGATTTCAAATAGACAGGCTAATGTAATGTTATTCACCAACAGTGGGGAAAAAATGAATCCTAAACTGGAGTCATCTGGTGACTCAGGAAAATCTATGGCATATTGTACTGGGAATGCAGTCACCCTGGTAGAGCCAAACACAGTTTTTGTCTTTTCAACTGCACATCAAGTAGAGGCCTCTATTGGGTCAGCACAAGTTAGGAACTTTCATAACATGCACCCGATTGATATGCCCATATCAACAGAAGCAAATTTTCAAGTCACACAGCTGTTCTGTCAGCTTCACACTGATCCTGCAAACTTTATACACAGAAAGTTCAGGAATCTGGAACACTTGCTAAATGAAGGTGAACTGATGCAGCATCTCTAGCACCGCATGCCTTTTTTTTCTGTGCAATGTCATCGTTTCGTGTACAGCTGTCCGGAAAAAATTAAATCTGACATGAGTAAAGATGGCAAACATGGATCTGCAAAAGGAATATGCATCTTCTGTAAGAATTTCCACATAAAGGCCCAGTTTTGTCAACATTTTAGTTAGCAAAAAGTCTTATCAAGTTTATAACTTCGCTTCTGTAAGTAAGATTTTGTATTTCTTCAGATTTTCAAAAATATATTCCCAAGTTCTTTTCAGACAAAACTGCCTTTGAAACAAACAAACAAATAAACAAATCTGCTATTCCTCATGAAAAATAAGGTGACTGGGTGTGTCAAAAATAACAGGTATGTTTCAATTCAGAGAAATGTATGCCAAATCAAATGTATTTGATTTGTTATAGAGTTGCAAATGCCTGAGAGCACGAATTTGGGGATCTGTTGTTTTTACATTCAGATTCGCAACTCACATTTTTTTCAAGCAAATGTAGGGAGCTTTCTCTTGATCTATGGTCCCTCAATAGCCTTTTCTATATAATCTTTTCCTACAATTTCAAAGCTACATACCTGTTCTTAGGATATTAGCATTAGTTTATGCTGTTGTTCCTGTGTGTTATGTGCATCTCTGCATTGTGCTTCATTTTGCTTCCTTGCCTTTCTTCTGTTGGAACTGAAAGAACAGCATTATTATTATTATAGGTTGGAGTAGGTGATCTTTCAAGGTCCCTTCCAATCCCTGACATTCTGTGATTCTGTGATTATCAGAATAAGTCAGCTGCACCTCAAATGGAGGCCTCTATTAGGTCTAGGTACTAGGAACTGCTGCTCCTACTTCTCCCAAATGAGCTCTAGTCCATGCCACTAGAAAGTTGGTGTGACCATGGTTTGTCTCTTAAGTATATAAGGGATACTTAGGAGTTGTACAAAATGTCTCTCTGCAATAAAAGCACAGCAGCCTGAAGACCACGGAAAACATTAACGAGGCTAATAATTAGTAACTGTCAGGAATTCATCTTCTGTGATTTCTGTGAATGGAAAGCACAGAGAACTTCCAAACTGCTGGCTTGTGTCAGACTTAATCTCTTATTTCAGTAAACCCTTATTTAAATAATATGAGCTCAATTTCTTTCACTGCTTTACATCTTGTAACTGAAAAGCCATTAAACTTTCTTCATGTGAAGCAGAATCTTGATCTGTACTAATGTAATGAAATGAGGAGATGTTAGTGGTTTTAATCACAAAATGACAGGAGCTGAGCAAAGTGGCGGTCTGTGTTTTCCCACACAAGTCTGACACAAGCCATGGAGAATAATAGATGGCCTGCTTTAAAGCCATCATTCCTGGCACTCAAAAATGGTAACGTATATAGGCTAAAAAAAGATATTTGGAGATATAATCAGTTTGTCTGAGCTGCAGAATGTTAAGGGTTTTGCTTTGTGATAAGAGAGAAAAAAGAAACATGTCCCCACTACCAGTAGGTATCCAGGGATGCTTCCTAAAGCCGTGCAAATGGATTCATGCATTTTCTGTCCATAAAATATGCTATTTTTAGGAGGGAAAAAAACAACACAGTCAGTTTGCAATGGCCTCAGAATTAAGGATGCATTTCTCATACAAATTCACGATTTTTTATATGCAAAATATGTCAATGTGTTGTGTTTTTCATTAATTTCTGCTTGAAATCTCAAGCAACAGCAGCACTTCGGTAAAGGTTCGCTGCTCCCATGCATGCAGGGCATGGATTTTATTCCTACTATGACCTCTAGTGGTACCAAGGCCATTCTTTTTAGTGATGGGTTTTGTGCTTCTCTTTCTATACCAAAAGAAAGTAATCAGTAATGCTTTGCATTAAGGTTTATCTTATGAACTCTGACAGAAAAATGGTAAAATGATGTTTCTTAAAAATGATGAATTTTAACTATTGCTTGTATGAACATATATTTGTAGCGAAACAGGCTGAAAAATCAGAAATTATTGCAGAAATTTTAAAAAGGCAAATTATTTTTGCCTTTTTAAAAATATTTACCCTGACAGTGACAAATACATTCTTGAAGTTGCTTTTTGTAATTGTTTTAACATATTAAATGCTTTTAGGAAGGTTCACCAAATCATTTTTCAAGCAAATATTTATAATACTGATGAGCAAAGAATTTTGAACATTAAGTCATTACATGGAGTATTTTAAGAAGATTAGAAGACCTTTGTAGCTTCTTCTCATTGCAGTGTACTTAAATCTTTGCAGTTATTCCAGATTTGTTCCACAGGAAAACAGCATA